GGGGAGGCTTAGCTGGTTTTCTGTTTCTTTACTTGCTCTGCTCCTCCCCTTGCTCAGACAACTGGACAGCTAGAAAGCTCTCATGTGATTACTAATATTAATTACCTAACTGAGACTGCTTTTGTAATAAGACTGTTTTGTTATCTGACAGTGATAAGAAAAAAAATATGACACTTGTCTAAGATTTATTTTTTTTAAAGACAGGAAATAAACCATCCCAAAAAAGCTAGCTTAAACAGGCAGTGGAGAAAAACAATGACATTATTTTTCTGATTGTACCTCATGAGTCCCAGTTGTTCAAAATCGTCTTGAGGAGGGGCCTCTCCATTTCTCTGTGATCCTTTACATAATTTGTGTATGGCACTGCCGAGTTCACCTGGTCACGGAGACAGCCAGCATTTCCAAGGGCAAAACTACTGCTAAGAAATAAGAACACCCTTTTGGATGATTTTTTAAAGATAAGGTCTCAGTGTTTACTTGACAATAATGACATGTTTGGCAACAGTGCAAAAAGGTACAGTTGGTAAGGGAGCGCTTTTAATAGGGTAAAAGAAGGCTCTTCCTCAGTGATGACTGAAGATCTAAGAGAATGAATGCCCAGCTTCTTTGTTACAAAGTGAGGTGCTGAAACACTCGTGTAGAACTTGCAAAGCATTTAGGCAGTAACAGACTTTTAGCATCTTGGTCTCTTATCCACCTGGAAGAAAGAAAGAAAGAAAGAAAGAAAGAAAGAAAGAAAGAAAGAAAGAAAGAAAGAAAGAAAGAAAGAAAGAAAGAAAGAAAGAAAGAAAGAAAGAAAGAAAGAAGGAAGGAAGGAAGGAAGGAAGGAAGGAAGGAAGGAAGGAAGGAAGGAAGGAAGGAAGGAAGGAGGAAGGAAGGAAGGAAGGAAGGAAGGGAGGAAGGAAAGAAGGGAGGGAGGGAGGGAGGGGGGGGAAGGGAAGGGAAGGGAAGGGAAGGGAAGGGAAGGGAAGGGAAGGGAAGGGAAGGGAAGGGAAGGGAAGGGAAGGGAAGGGAAGGGAAGGGAAGGGAAGGGAAGGGAAGGGAAGGGAATTGGTTGAAGAGACCTGGCTGAGAGAATCTGGAATTTGGAGTCATTGGGAGATAGTATGCATGGTAAGTCCTACCCCTGTTGTCTCCAAGGAGTAAGGGTGGTAAGTATGTCCTATTCATTCAAGCCTTTGAACAAGGCCTCAAGGATACTAGATGGGGGACTTGATTGGTGTTTCCCTGAAGCTGGGGAACTTGGTGGACTGAACTCTGACTCATTCCTGAAGCAAGCTGTGGCATCAAAGGGGCAAGTTGATTTGGGAAATACTTGCACTTGTGTCAATATGGGTCAAAGGCATATGGCTCTCAGGGTACCCAAAAGAAACCCAGGAAAGAAATGTCAATTGAGGATCATCTAAAACAACCTTTGCCAAGAGAGATGTTGCCAGGGGCATAAGTCATCCTCAATAGAAAGAGGCTGTTTATGCTCCAATTTGGAATTTGTGTGGAAGTCCTAAGTGACCTGCTTGTTTCCTGCATCAGTTACCCCAGTTACATGTCTACTGAGTGTCATTAAATGCAGCACATATGAGAAGAAGTCATCTTGGAAGATTAGAAATGAGGACTAAAAAAATCAAAACTCAGGAAAACAAAGAATAAGAACACTATTATGAAGTGAACTTCCTGTATACACATTAGATATTTTTTATATTACCATTTGACTCAAGTAAGATTTTATTATGCAAATTAAATTGAAATTTTAGTGATTATCTTGTGAGTTTGTGCTGTGTTAATTTAGCTATTCACATACCAAATTGCCAATCTTTGGGGAGATATATATCTCCTAAAAGACTTTTAAACATATGGAAGTACTTTATAAATTCTCTACCCTTATGTCAGTTGGTGAACATTTCCAGACCAAAAGTGATTTTTCACATTAAGATGGAATAGGATTAGGTTTACCTACATGCAGCAGAAACCACAAATCAACAGTGGCTGTTCACATAAGGTTTTGTTCTTTCATGTAGAAAGTTGGAGGATAGCAGGCCAGAACTGGTATGGAATCTCCACAAATTATCAGAGACTCACTTTTTCCAGCTTTCTGCTCTGCCATCCTTTGGGTAGTGCCCAAGACAGCTGCTAGAAGCATTATGTCTGCATTGCATGCAGCGGAAATTAAAACCAGAAAAGGTTGTATAAATTATTCTCACTCATGCCCCACTGTCCAGAACCAGTTCAGTTACTGGTCATATCTAAGTAGAAGGAAGACTGGAAAAATGTAGTGAGAAACACCATGGTCCTAGCTAAAATTTGGGGGTTCTATTACTGATGAAAATGGGAAGTCTAATGTTGGGGGATAACATTTGTCCATGACACAGAAAGCACAGAGGATAAGAGTAAGCTGTGGAGTCAGATGGCTTCTCTTTGATTCTTGGCTGCACCACTTATTAGGTTGTAACTTTGGTCAAAAGTCTAAAACGATCCATGTCTTTATTTCCTCAGGAGTAATGGGAGAATAGTAGAGTTTTCATGAGCATTTAATGTGAAAACATTTTGAGTGGTGCCTCGCCATGTGTTATTGTTATTACCATTATTCCCATGATTTACTATAACTCACTAAGCTATAGTCAGTATAGTCTCTGGAGTTTATCACTCCAGTCCTAGAACTTAGTAGGATGTCTGGCAGTTCGTGGATGGGTGAATGAATGAATGCGTCAGACTCATGAGTTTTGAATTGTGAAACTTTACTTTCTCAATGGTTTACATGGACATTACTTAATTCCTTTCAACATCAGCTTTCCCTTAAAATGAAGATAAACTATTCCAAGTTTTCTTTCTTTCTCCCTCCAGATCCATTCTCCACCCTTCTCAGATGCTCTGTGCCAAGGAGGCTGACCTTTATGAATCGTGTCAGTAGCTCCCTTGCCCTCTGGCTTCCTGTTGGAATTTGTCTATAGAAGGCACTGACAAGCGATTGATCAGAGGTGGAAGGAGAGTTAGCTTGGACATTTATTCCTATGGTTTTCTCCCTGCAGAGCCTTAGTTTGGCAGTGGCTGTGTGCTATATAGATTGAATGTTTGGGTCCCCCCCAAATTAAATATTGAAATCCTAATTTCCAGTGTGATGGTATTAGGAGGTGAGTTATTGGGAGCCCTCATAAATTGGATTAGTGCCCTTATAGAAGAAACCTCAGAGAGCACCCCTCCCCTTCTGCCATGTGAGGACATGGTGAAAGATGGCCTTCAGCAGACACTGAATGTGTCAGCCCCTAGATCTTGGACTTCTCAGCTTCTATAACTGTGAGAAATAAATTTCTGTTGTTTATAAGCCACCCAGTCTATAGTATTTGTAACAACAGCCCCTATAGACTAAGACCCCATGTGTCTGTTCTGAAAGCCAAAACCATCTTTACAGCTTTCTTTACAGCTATAGGTCTTTCGGGGTTCCAGCACCTGCCCCTACCTTATGGCTCCCCATTATGGCTATCCTCATGGCATTTCAACTTTGTTGGTTTTCTGAATGCTGGCCTCACTTTTATAAACAAGTTCTTTATTAAATTTTCCTCACTATTCCATTTCATTGTTCTTTTCCTTCTGTGACCATGATTGATGCATAATACTTATAGGGCTGCTTTGAGTATTTAACAAAATAATGCATTCAAAGTGCTTAAAGTGGTGTCTGACACAGAATAAGCACTCAATAAACTTAAGCTCTGCTAATGCTACTATCATCTACTTTCTTTTACTTCTCATTATTTCATGTTTGGTAATATGTTTGTTTCATAAAATTTTTAAAGGTGTTGATTGATTTGTTGAAGTATTTCACTGCCAAAAATGATCAAAGCATAACTAGGGTAAATTATTGAATCAAACTTAAACCTTAAAATAAAATGGTGGCTAGTAATTTTTTCCCAAAGATATGTCTCCTTTTTTGTTAAAGTATAAAATATGAAACCCAATACCGTGTCCTCTACCATTGACTTGTGAACTTGGGGATCTAAGAAGAGGGGTAGTTGAGAAATCAAAGCTGGGAAACTGGAGCCTGGTGATTCAGGAGGTTGAGGTTTTAGGGAACAACAGTGAGAGAAACCAAGGATTCATAGAGCCATGGCATAGACCAGGGAAGCAGGACCAGAGACTGTAGCTAAAAGTGGTTTGAGTCGGGGAGATTCTTAATTATTTCAGAACCTTATTATACTGACCCAAAGTAGACCAGAGGCATATGACTATAGCTATGATAGCAGTCAAAGTCTTCAAATTTCTAAACAGTGGTTTTTGCCTTAAAAAAAAAATCTAATGGGATTAAAGTGATCTGAGGCTTTGTTGCATGTGTTGGAGAACCTAGTCTTTAGGTTTAGGGAAACTAATGGGTTCTCACCATTGGTGGTGGGTTCTGGTTCTCAGCTGTGAACCTCCACACTTGTGATATCCTGGAGTTTTATATGAAAATATTCAATCTTCACCATCTATTTTTCTTCCCACAATTCCCTAGATGTCACCCATGATGCATTTGTAATTGTTTTGCATATGTCTTTAAATCTGAAGATATTCCTCATAGTAATAACTGCTTGATAATTCATTGAGTTACCATCTATGATAGAGAATGGATAATGATGATGATGATGATGATGATGGTGATGATGATGATGATTGTATCTGCAGTTCTATTCAATTTACAAAGTGATTGCTACAAACACTTCTTTACTTACAGAAATTAAAATATATTAACCTTAGGAAGAAAATAGCAGATATAATTAATATTTAATTGAATGTATCACTTTTTATTTCATAGAAACAATGAATTTGATTTTTATTTTCTAACATATAGTAAGAAATTGTCATTTTTACATATTTATAAAATATTTAACTGCCATGACATATCACTTATTTTTAATGTCAGTGGAGTGAACAATTAAAATCAGAATGTACTTCAGTAAAAATATATCTTAGTAACTGACCATCTTTTTACAATTAATTTATTTTTCTTATGTATGGCTTCTATTTTTTTCCAGATTTGGATCTCAGAAACACACGAACAAATGGCACAAGTTCTTTTAAACACAAAATTGGCTCAGATACAAAGCCAGGCTTTGTTGAATGAGGAAACAATGAACTCTGGGATTATTGAAAGGTACTCTTAATATTGCTCATTGCTTACAGAATAGGCACATGGAGGAAAGGAGTTATTTAAGTATTGAAGGGGTATGGTGGCGCCAGCTACACACTGTAGGAACACATCTCAAGCTTCCATGCTTTCTGCTGATGCCGTTCCTTCTGTCTGGAATTCCCATCCCTCAGCGTGACAATCAGCACTGTTCATTCTGGGTCCTGATGAAATATTATTCCCTCTTTCCACGTTTTTTCTGGTCAGGGTTCTGACTATCTAGGTTTGAACCCCAGCTCCACAGTTTATTTGTGAAAGTTATTTGGTGTCTGTAATCCTCAGTTTGTTCACTATAAAATGGGAATTATAAAAGTATCTACTCCGTAGAGTTTTTCTGAAGTTTAGATGAAATAAAGTATGAAATGAGTGTAGAAATATAGCCTGAGGTGCATTAAGAATTAGGTGAGCTGTTATTAAACAGAATTAATTGTTTTTATTTCCTTGCCCTTTGAGTATTTTATTTGTATTCTATAAAACAGTTGCACTTACATTCTTGTTATTTATATGCATGTATATTTTCCTGAGATAGTTTCTGGAGGGGAGGAACTGTTTCTTAGTCATATCTGTAGCTCTGCAACCTCACACAATACCTTCCCATGAGAGTGTGTGATATAGACTTTGTTGTATATAGTAATTATTGGAGAATGCATTCAAAATAATGACAAAATGCTGACAATTTCATTTATACATTGGCACATTTTATTTTGCAAAGTGCCTAAAAGTTGCAAATATGAAAATTCTTTAAAAATAATCATCATAAACATGGAGGGTTATCAGTGGGGAGGGGAAGGGGGAGAATGAGGGAGAAGGTCTAGGGAATAAGAAGCATAAATGGTAGGCAAAATAGACAGGGGAGGTTAAGAGTAGTATGGGAAATGGAGAAGCCAAAGAACTTGTATGTACGACCCATGGACATGAACTAAAGTGGGGGAATGATGGTGGTGGGGGAGATACAGGGCAGAGGAAAATAAAGGGGAGAAAAAAATGTGACAGCTATAATAGCATAATCAATAAAATATATTAAAAAATAATGTTTAGCTCCAAAATCACAAAAATACAAAAATTCAGCTCCAAGTTAGTTTTCTATGGCTTTGATAGTTTATAAATGTCAGTTTGACATGTTTCTAAAAATTGGTCTCTTGTTCCCAGGGACACTGGATTGCCTGCAACAGGTTTTGGAGCTCTCTTTACTACACACCCACCGGATTGGCGCAATATGTAAGTCGTTCTTAAACTGCTGCAGATTGCATGTGGTGTTTCTTAATGATCCAGGGGTGTTGTTTGCAAGAGTAAGGGTTTAGGGGGCATACCAAAGTCAACAAAAAGCTCTTTATGTGGCAGCTTACAGACTTCTTTTCTTTAACAAGAAGGTTTTTTCATCAATATGCATAACGTTAATAAATAATAGTCAATCCATATTACGTATGGATTTGATATTTTCAAGTTCTCTTACCCACAAAAAACTATTTGTAACCCCCAAATCAATACTTGCAGTGCTGTTGCAGTTCTTCACAAATGTGTAGTGAGGTGAGAAATCGGAGCACCCAATGCACACGTTCCCAAGCTTTTTAAATTGAATAAGGCAAGGCTCTGCCTTCTCATTTCAGCAAGTGTCCCTTTCAAGTTCTATTTAGTGACTTTTCAAATATATTTTTAAAGATATTGTTTATTTATTTTTAGAGAGGGAAGGGAGGGAGAAAGAGAGAGAGAGAGAAACATCAATGTGCGGTTGCTGGGGGCCGTGGCCTGCACCCCAGGCATGTGCCCTGACTGGGAATCGAACCTGCGACACTTTGGTTCTCAGCCCATGCTCAATCCACTGAGCTACACCAGTCAGGGCTTAAATATTTTTTTAACTGATGAATATGCTGTTTGAAATGGCTCCAAGTATAGCGCTGAAGTGCTATTTAATATTTCTAAGCACAACAGGCTGTGATGTGGAGAAATGTGTGTGTTATATTAAGCTTCCTTTAGGCATGAGTTAGAATGTTATGGACTGTGAGTTCAATGTTAATGAATCAACAATATATATTAAATAAGGTGTCTTTAAAGAGAAACACATAAGACCAGTTATGTATTGATTGGTCGGTGAAAATATAACCAGAAGCTCTCAAGAATCTAATCCTATATTTCTCCTAGGAGCAGTGGTTCAGCATTTGCTAAGTCAGTTTTTGTGGTAACTTTACAGAATATCACTGTGAATAATGAGAATTGACTATAGAGCAAGAGACCACTAACTTTGCCAATAAAAGAAATTAATTTATTTTAGGGGTGGCATGACTTGTCACTATAGAAAAGAAATTTCTTTTCCACTTATCTTTCTAAAGAATGCACACTTTCATAATTTCTGTAATGATGTAGAGACAAATGATATGGAAACAAAGGTGCTTACAAGCATGACCAAATTCTGAGTGTTAAATTGTGCATTATGAAGATAGGAGTATGTGTCATCACCAGCAATTTAAATGTTTTGGCTTCCTTTGAGAACTGTCTGACATTAGAACTAAGCTATTTTGCAGAGTCTGCCTGAGGAAGGGAGGGTTGGGGAGTCCCACCCCATTTCACAGTCACTTATTGTAATTCTGGCCAGGTATTTCATTAACCCTGTGGGTTCTAACCCTGATGGCTCCAGCAAAGACAGCCTGGCCTACATTCCCCACACCCTGTATCACCTCTAAGTGGGCCAGAAGGTCCACCAGGCGTAGCCCCAGGATGATCCTTGAGGAGGGTGGGCTCCTGGCTTCCATCAAGGCCATGAGCTAAAAACTTCCTGCTGGCTGCCTTCTTACACTAAAATCTGGAATTTCCAGCAAAGATATGGGAAGGCATAATGAATCCTGGGGTAGACTTTGATAAGTGTATTAAAACTCTGAGAAGCTCTCAAGAATATAAAGAAGTAGAGCAGGAGAAGGCTAAGGGCTGGGAGGAGCAGAGAAGGTAAGAGATAAAGTCTCTAGATGGAGTCTTGGGCCAGTCCAGGGTGGGGGCTGTGATCTCGGTGGGCCAGGCTTAGATAGGAGCTGAAAGAGTCTTGAGTTTGCAAACTTGGATCATATGCTCAAATCAGGAATTTTGTATTGACTTTGACTGCTATTTTTAGCCCAGGGCAGAAAATGAGACAGCCAGGGAAATGAGACATAATAGAGATTTTGATGTCAACAGCCTACTCCCTAAACCTCTAATCTCAGTATTGAGATCTGTAATGCCAACCACAGATAGCCAGTAGGACCCTGAGAAAGCAGTCTCAGATATAAGAAGAACTGGGCTGTGCATCTTAATGAGAAAGAAATGCCAGGGTCAGTAAGCGCAGTTAAGCCCAGCAAACTGCAGTAGAGGCAGTGAACTCATATTTCCCACACTCACGGCGAAGACACCCGCTTAGCCTCCTTTTTCAGTGGACTATCTATGTAGTCATCAAAAGTGGCAGCAACTACCTTAGGAATAGACTTCATTGTCTCAATTTAAAAAATCATAACACATCTAAAGAGCAAAAGCATCATGAGGAATGAAATATAGGCAGCCTATACCAGAGGAAGCAGACCAGACAGAGCAAATGGAACAGGAATTTAAAACTGAGGGAACAAAAAATCAAAGCTTTATTTTTAGAGAAATAAAAGAAACAGCAGAAATCATAGGCAAAATAATAAAAATCAAGTTGACATTAATTTTCCACAGCAACACTGAAGATAAGATCATAACATTAAAGTATTGAAGGAAAAGAATTTTGAGCCCAGAATTATTTAAATGTGAGGGGCAAATAAAGATATCTGCAGGTATAAAAGGACTGGTTTCAGACTTCCTATCCTGCCATAAATAACTGCAGAACTGGGCAAAATGCATTAGGCAGCTGTTGTCAAGTGTTGAATGGCAACCAGTGAGCTTGTGTGCTCCTTGAAATGAGAGGTGGGCATCACATTCCGCCCTGACTCACTGAGAAGGTTTTCTGACTGTGGTACAGGCAGGTGAGCCCAAGTGTAGGGCAGTGTGTTATTGCTGAGCATGGAGGTGGGAATAGGAATTTAGAGCTTCTAATTAGGACTGGAATTTGTAGGACAGAGTATTGGAGAGAAGAAAGTCTGCATGGGGTTCCCCCCAGGTGATTGATCAGGGTCTCAGCTCTGCATGCACTATCAAAATAGTACCTACCCCTGGCTTTTTAAAAAAATCAGCTAGGGCTGTCTGTAGCATATTCTGAAATTTCACATCAGTGCTCTCTTCTGTGTATTGTGTAGTAGGCTCTGGGCATGCATTTCCTGCCTTCAATACATGGGCCTTCCATTTGAAGATCGTGGGCACATTTTGTATCTCAATTTCTTTGTCTGTAAAATGGAAATGATAATTCTGAAGACACTCATTTCTAGGGTTATCATGATGATTTAGCAAGTTAATGTATGTAAAACAGAAGAGTGACTGATGCGTGTATGGTAAGTGCTATGGAAGTCAGCTGGGGTGGATACTCAGTGAACCCTTTCAGTCCAGAAACTCACTTCTATCAGTTCAGGGCAATGTTCTTGATTTATTTCATCGATGATTTATACTTTCCATTTTCTCTTTTTGCAAATTCTTTATTTGGATGTTGGATCGTTTACCCTGCTCCTCTAATTGTCTTGTCTTTTCTTAGTTTATTTTTGTTTTTACGATCTATTAACACTTCATTCTCTGTCTCTTCAGTCCTACTATTGAGGTCAGTTTTTGTTTTCTGAATCCTTTTGTTTTTATAGGATCCATTTTTTGGTTTCATGTGGAAATATTAATGATAGTTTGTTTTTCATTATTTTTTTTTCTTCCATGCATGTAGTCTCTTATTTCTCCAGGAATGCTGTTTTGTTTCTGTTTATATTATTTGTCCATAGGTATCTCTCTTCCACACCTGGAGCTTTCTTCAAGTGTTAGACAATCAATCCTTGGTTTTCTCTTCATGATTAAGAGATGAGGCTTGGAGCTTGTGAGTGAGGCTTGTTGACTTGGAGGCTCACTGGAAGGATCTATCTAGATGGGTATTTTCCTTCTCCCTCTCCTTCTTCTGCCCTTACCCCTCCTCCTCCTCCCTATTCTCTCCCCCTCTTCCTTCTTCCTCCCCCTTCTGCTCCCTCCCCCTCCTTTTTCTTCTTTTTCAGATGTCCTGGTGGCAATATTTTAGTCTTTTCTGTTGGTTGATCAGATTCCCCAGAGGAAGCTCTCACCCATCTGAAGGGTAAAGGGCTGGTGCTTATGTTCTCGGAGTGAGCTGGGCAGTTGGCTGGGACATCAATATTAATTCTTCATTGTGTACGGTCACTGAACCATGTTGTTGATCAAGGACTTTCTCTTTTACCCTTTCCAGTGAATAAATTTCTAGCTTCCTGCTGGCAGTAACCCAGCAGTGGGGAATGAAGCTGGGGCCTGGAGTTCTAACTGCTTCTCAAATAGCTCTCCCTCAGGCCTCCTTTGCTGATTTAGGACTCAGCTTTCTGCTAAGTCAGAGACCTGTTGTCCATCTTCTCTTGAGTATCCAAAATTTGTTTCTCTTACCCGTTTTCCTGTTTTTCCTGTTCTTGTGGATTTATTGTTTTTTCAAGTCTCTTTAATGTGGTTTTAGTGGAACGTTTCGAGGAAGCAAGATGCGAGTTGTACATTCATTCTTGACTCTAAGGTCATCAAGTCTCATCTGAAATATTACCTCCTCCAGAGGAGCTTCCCTTCCTACTGCTACCTCCATTGCCAGGGTAGGTCCCTTGTGGGTATTTATAGCACTGTGTATTTCTTTTATCCTAAATATATCCATTTTGGATGCAATTAATTGCATTTTTGTTTGTCTTTCTTGCTCTGAAGTCAATGCTCTGGAGGGCAACTCTGTGTCAGCTCTATGCCTAGTGCCTAACAGAGAGCCTGACCCTGCAGCACATGTGCAGTCATTATTTTTTGAGTGAATACATTATTTCCGATGATGAACAGCAAATTATAATGGGAAAGGGATGTGTTTAATTCTTATTTTATTTGATTTAGGGCATCAAGGCCTGTGGAACCAAAAGTTGTTCTCAATTCTATGCTAGTAAATGTGTTAGAAAACATGGTCTCTTAGAAAATTGTCTCTTATTTGTTTGATTTGCTAGAATTACTTTTTTGTTTTAGTTGATTAATGAGTATTGACACAGAAATAAATACATGAGCACCTTCAACCATTCTCTGCTAATTTCATGTGCAGTTCTTTCTTTCAGTTAATGTACACTAATTTTAGG